ACCCGTCACAACCCCTACGGTTGACCTAACCTGACCTGACCCGACCTGGTCTAAATGCTTAAAGACATCATCTCTGATCAAAACTAATACGATATTCGTGATCAGCACCCCCGAAAACCACATAGCAGCCACACCTTACGACTTTCTAACAGGTCCCGATTTTCCCGGTTTTCGGGTCATTGATCTGACCTGGAAGGTCACCCGATGACCTAGGACCTTAAAATTGGGTACCATCGGCTTCCTCTCGTGACGAACAACACGCTCGTTTTTTACCGCGAAGCTCTAGCTCTATCAGGGGCCAAACGCTAGGGGGGGGGGGTCGTACCAACCCCCCCCCCTAGCGTGCCGTCGAAGGACGCAAAATGGCCTGTGCCGGCGAGGGTTAAGCTGATCCTCAAGTACCTATGTGTTTGTCTCTTCCTTATTGTCGTTTGATAAATTCCATTTATCCTGCATGTATCGAATTCCCAAGAAGCCATGGCAGTACTTATCAGTGGCGAATCTCAGGGGGGAGGTCACATGGGTCATGACTTAGGGCCTGGGGTCACCACATGCCTGCCAGGAGCACCACAGGCCTGACAGCCGACAGGGGCACCACAGGCCCGCCATGGGTACCACAGGCCTAGCAGGGGCACCACGGCCTGTCAGTGGCACCACAGGCCTGTCAGGAGCACCATCGGCCTAGCAAAAGCATACAGGTCTTCCAGGGGCACCACAGACCTGCCAGGGGCACCAGAGGCCTGCTAGGGGCACTATTGGCTTCGCAGGGGAACCACCGGCCTCGCAAGGGCACCATGGGCCTGTCAAGGGCACCACAAGCCTGTCGTTGGCACTTTAGGATTGTCAGGGGCACCACAAACCTGTCAAGGGCACCTGCGTTCTAACAGGGGCACCACAGGCTCGCCAGGGGCACCACAGACCTGCCAAGGCCCAGGGACACCACAGGCCTGTCAGGGGCACCACGGGCGTGTCAGGGCCCATGGGCACCTAAGTCATGTCAGAGCCCACCGTAGGCTTGTCAGGGGGCAGGGTAGGTAGGTACACTCGGGGGCAGATTGATGTTCCACAACTCTTTATCCACCGGGTTCCTATGGCTCAGCATTGGCAGCAGCCGCCTGGTACCGGTAGACTGTGCCGCTTCACTTACTTGTCAAGCGGCACAGCCTACCCACCTGTATGACACCGGTCTGGGTCGGTGGCTGGAAGGCGATGTGGGCCGCCTGTGACGTCAGCGCAGCGGTGAGGGCCGAGCCCGGAGGCATGGCTCGGGTCGGCGCGGCGCGGCGGCTGGCGAGGACTGGGGAGTGAGGTGGGGTGGGAGCACGGACATCGCGTGGCTGGGCGAGTGTAGTTAACTTTCGCATCTCAAGGCGCCAATTATTCTACCTAACAATTGTGCTAAAGCAGTTGTTAAAATGTCCTATCCCCAAGACAGCGCCTATCATCATACTTGCAATGCACATTACGACACACTTAAGCGTGGCAATGGGACAGCCGATAGAACTTATGTCACTCGTGCATCGAGGTGCGGAGCTATATTTGTAACATATTAGTATTAAGGCTTTGATTGAGCAGATTGGTGTCTATTGTTTCGCACGGCAATCGTCCAGAGACGTGGGAACTGGGGGTTATGAGTAGTGCCGCAGCCAACGCTCCAATTTAAAGCGATTATTACTGTTGCTCTAATATGTGGTCGCAGCTCCAATAGCAAACCGTTCCAACTAGGAGCCATAAAAGTCGGCCATTCAGGGGGGTTCGAACCGGGCTTCTCCCACCGGCCAATTCACGACACGAGCGTTCATCCACTGAGCTACCGAGAATGGTCCTCGTCTGCACAAAACAAAATGACATTCACCCGCTGACGCCAATGACAGTATTGTGACATTTGATCGCGTTTGACCGCGGCGGGTGGTCGCTGGTTTCGGCAGCTCAGTGGATACAGGCTAGCGTCGTGGGGTGACCGGTTGGAGAAACCCGGTTCGAACCGTCCCAGGTGCGCGACTTATTTGTTCCTTGATGGAACGGTTTGCTATTGGTGGCTGCGACCACTCATTAGAGGAACATAAGAGTTGGGACGCCGCGCTATCCAAAAACCCCAGTTCCCACGTCTCTGGACGATTGCTGTGCGAAATAATAGACACCAATGAGCTCAATCAAGGCCTTAATACATATCTGTTAAAAACAATGTAGCTCCGCAACTCGATGCACGTGTGATAAATTCTATCGGCTGTCCCAATGTCACGTTTAAGTGTGTCGTAATGTGCATGGCAAATATGATGATAGGCGCTGTCTTGGGGATAGGACATTTTAACAACTGCTTTAGCACAATTGTTAGGTAGAATAGTTGGCGCCTTGAGACGCGAAAGTTAACTACACTCGCCCAGCCGCGCGATGGTCCGTGCTCCCACCCACACTCACCCAGCCCTCGCCAGCCGCCACGCCGCGCCGACCCGAGCCATGCCTCCGGGCTCGGCCCTCACCGCTGCGCTGACGTCACAGGCGGCCCACATCGCCTTACAGCCACCGACCCAGACCGGTGGCATACGGTGTGGGTAGGCTGTGCCGCTTGACAAGTAAGTGAAGCGGCACAGTCTACCGGTACCAGGCGGCTGCTGCCAATGCTGAGCCATAGGAGCCGGTGGATAAAGAGTTGTGGAACATCAATCTCCCCGAGTGTACCACAGTCTTTCCAGGGGCACCAGCGGCCTAGCAGGGGCACCAGTCATCACATGACTAACCAAAAATAAAGAAAAAAAAATGAAAATAGGGCACCACCAAAATTAAGTGGCCGAAATCCGTTGATGTTTTAATTGGGTATAGGTAGGGGCACCACTTCGATTCATGACCCTCCCTTGGAGTTTTCCCGAATCCGCGCCTGGTACTAATACATCAAATTTAAGGGGGGGCACCTTGCTATTGGTGCCCCCTTGCAGAATTCAAGGGGGGGCACGGTGCCCCGGTGCCCCCCCCGTTCCGCCGCCTATGTTTAAAAAGTGAACTATTTCCTTTAATGTCTGCTTAATCTGTAAGGTGATATTTGCGAGCAAGACAAAAAATAAATAGTAAGCTGAGAAAGAGCGTCAAAACACCACATCGTCTCGTTATGCACCATTGCTGCCAAGCTTCATTCTGAGCTCTGAACCAATTCACCGCGATTATCTACGTATGTACTCGTATATGGCTGTTGTTTCGTCGTTTTCGCATTTTACCTAGGTAGTTTGCAAAACCCTAGGGAGTTTGCACACTAACTAGGGACTTTGCAAACTACCTAGGCAGTTTGCAAACTACCTGTTCGACCAGGTACTTTGCAAACTACCTAGGAGTTTGCAAACTACCTGATCGTTCAGGGAGTTTGCAAACTCACTAGGTAGTTTGCAAACTAACTGATTTCTCATACTCCCTGTAACATATTATAGTGGTATATGGCGTAGCATACATATGGCGGTCTTTTCATCGCTTGCTCGCTTCATAGCTCTCTTCGCTTTCGTGTGTACCTGCTCAGCAGCTCTAATGAGGTTATGATATTCAATCGAGCTCGACAGCCGAGATGGCATTATACGGCTGTTTCCCTGTCATCCATTCTCGACCGTTTGGTGATGAAGTCATGTGAAAACTGTCTCCTGAGTCGGGCGTTTGTGGGGCGAGCGGCCACTTTTCTTCCCGAATTTCCGAGAAAAGGACGTGAGGTGGACGAAGAAGAGAAGTGGACCGTGCGCGGCGCGGGCCGATAGCCGACCGGAGTGGTCCCGTAACGATGCTGTCATAGATACCGGGCCGTACTGGCCGCGCCGGCCTTGGTGTCACATGGAACGCATACCAATGCGTGGCGCCGCCCACCGCCCGCCGTCCTCCGGCCGTCCGGCCGTCCGTCGCTCGCCGCCGCCCCTGACCTGGGTCAATTCATCATACCAGTGCTTCCAGCGCCACCGCTGCCGGCGCCGCCGCGCCGCCGCGCGGGGGCCTCTGGTGCCACCTCGGTTGGTTGTTCCCGGTTCTAACTGCATTTCTCATTGAGATAGCGTAGCGTAAATTTACTCGGCCGGTGCCGCCGCTCGTAGTTAGTAGAGAGTTCTGGTCTGTCTGGAATGCCGCTGGCACGCGCCCGGCACGGGCCGGGGACAGCGCGGTCTGTCGCCGGGCGGCGCCGGCGCGGCTGTTTAGAGAGCGCCGTCTCTCGCCGGTCGTTCTGTCGACTGGTGCCCGCCGGTTACTGGGCAGTCCGGCTGGTGTATGGGCTGGTGTAACGAGGGGGCTGGTGACGTCACGGCGTTGGTGCGATCTGGTCCCGACTGGATCGTTTAAGTGGTGCTACGGAGCACGGCTCGTCGCGACGGAGATGGTAGCCGTGCCCGTGCATCGCGCGGCTAGTGAGGGACCATGTCCCGACGACGCGGGGCTCCGGTGACTGTGTGTGCCGTGCTCCGCGTGTTACAGAAGCCCCGTCCCATTGCACCCTGCAGTATGCCCTGTCACGCCTACTCAGTCCGGCCGGAACCGGCTAAATCATTATCCAAACAGCCTGACCTACCTGATCTGACCTGACCGGATTTGATCTAGACCTGACGTGACCTAACCTGACTTCACCTGTCGCGACCTTACCGAACTTGGCCTGTCATGCTCTAACCTGAATCCACCCGACTTGACCTGAGCTGACTTGACTGATGTGACCTAGGCTGACTAGACATGGCCTGACTTGACATGGTTTCACCTGAAGTGACCTAACGTGACCTGACCTCACTTTTTTCGAAGCTGATAAGATTTGAACTTTTCTCATCATAACTTGATCTAGAAAACTGACGAGGCCTGACTAGGCCTAACATTATTTGACCCGACCTGACTGTTCTGAAGAAGCCTAGATTGGCCAAACTTCTTCCAATCAACTTTACCTGGCCTGAGCTGAGCTGACCTGATCTTGTCTAACCTAACCTCACCGACCCAACCTGACCTGACCTGACCCCTTACTGATCTGACCTGAGACCTGTGTCTCTCGTCTCCCGCAGACGCCGTCCAGTCTCCAGGAGCGCTCTGTGGCCGGGCCGCGTGGGGTGCTGCTCAAGGACCCGCTTCGTGTCCGGACGGCGCCGACCCTACAGCGACGAGATCCTCAGCTCCGACCAGGCCTTCCAGTCCTTCTTCAAGGACAGACAGAAAAAAAGACAACCACAATATGAGTGAGTAGCGATCGGACGACAGGCCCATCTGTGATTGGTGGCTATGGGGAAGTTATACAACGTCCACAGTCGAACACAGGAATGCTCTGATACAATTTAAGATATGCTGGGAATGATAAATGTTTTTTGTGTGATTTTTTACTAGAGGAATTAGAAAATGGGTATTAGAACGTATTAATTCTTCCGACAAAATAACGTTTTAATGAAGTTCAGCGAGCTTTAGGTGGCACTTGAGCTGTGTCTCCGGCTGGCCCGTGTGACCGAGGGTGCGGTGACTTTTTGTAGTTCTGCCTTTGATAGATAGACGATATTTTCTGTTTTCCTCAATCACTGTCGGTGTGAAACGACTTTTGCTGTTTTTGTCCAAACCCATCAAAGTTAAGCTACTTCTGCGAACGATTTGTTATCGGAGTGTCGAGCCAATTCATTTATTTTTTACTGATTGAACGAGCTGTTTGCTCCTGGTCTGGTGCATTCACAATGTAGTTATTTATTTATCGGCTGCTATTTACTTGTCTTTGTGAAGGAGCCATGCTTTTCCTTTCAATAAACACTTACTTTGTCGTATGCGTGAGGACAAGACGTTGCATGCTAAATTATTGACAATATTTTATGCCGATACTTCTATGTATGTCTTTTTCCTTCTTGTTCACGAAGTCTTTGATTTGAAACAGCACAGCTTTGTACACAGCTGATAACTTTTGCTAAACCTAGCTTACATGGTAACTCCTTCGTTTTGTTTCAGTCGAACGAAGAAGACGATTTAATATAAACGACCGAATCAAAGAGCTGGGGACGCTGCTGCCCAAATCGAGTGACCTGTGAGTACCCACGGCCTCAGATTCCCCGAGTGGGTGCCCGCTATCACTGCGCAAACACGATCCCGTATCGTATCGGCCACTTGTCCGGCGACTTCGTGAGATACCGACCGGCCGACCAGACTCTTGACCGGCATTTTAAACAAGCTCGGCTTTTAACGCTCAGGTATTCTCTTGACCTGCTGAGATTATCATGGATGGTGCTTATCCGGATAATGATTATCAGTAGACAATGTGTCTAGTCTAAGACTGTGGTACTTGGTGACGACTGTTGTAACTACGTACTTCTACTATCAGTGTGAGAGTTGGGACAATATAGAAGTGTTCGAATCGTTTCAAAATGTAGATATTAGCTTAGCCTTTTATCACCACCACATCTCCGAACATAAGTGAACGTTCTATAGAGGATAATATCAAACTGTTTAGGACGATTATCATTATTTGAAATAGCCGCTTGCTTCATTATTTCAATTTCTCTCACAGCCGCACAGTATAGGTTACTGATATGACCGATCTTATTGCAGGTACCACGACATATCACGGGACTGCCGCCAGAACAAGGGCTCCATCCTGAAGGCCTCAGTCGAGTACATCCGGAGATTAAAACAGGACCTGGAACGAGCCAAGGAGCTGGAGGCGCGACAGAAGCAGATGGAGCAGGCTAACGGCGGCTCCTGCTGCGGATACAGGTCAGTTCGGAGGAGACTCGAGGTCACCAGGTCACGCGGGGTCACAGAGGTCAACAGGACAGCGTCCTCGGACACACTAAGGCAGTACCACGAAACCCCAAAATCAACACCGTTCGTAGAAGTCAGATATGCACAGTATGGATGACAGTACTGGATTCACTGGACGGGATTCCCGCAGAAATAGTTTGATGAATACGGTCTGCTCTGGGTAACTATTGGGTAGAGCTGTGGCAGCCACCTCAGGGCCGATATTGGAAACTGAGGTTGAGCTGACTCAAGGGCCCGCGCCAAATGTCAGTGTGATATTACTGGTTCACTGCACTGGGCGGGATGGGATCCCCGCAGAAATAGTTCAGTGAATTGACTGTCTTCTCTGAGTTCTGACTGTACGAAATAACGTCTATATGTCTACTAAATGCCATATGAGTATCTTATCATGAAAGTATTCCTCTTTTGTACTTGCAGTGGCATCATTATGCGTTGAATGTGTTCATGTATGATATGCCATGACCGGTGGCCATTGGCCAATGCACTGTTAACGGGCCGGTCTAGTTTTGTCCCGGCGCCACTTTCACTTCTAAAAGTCAAATCACTATCCAGACCTTTAGCCTTATAAGCCGTATGGGCCCCTCTTAAACACAGAATAACGGTTTGACATTTAAATTTCAAGCTACCGGTTCAATACATAGTCCACCGTTCACTTTGTCTGAATAAAACATGGCCGCTTGTTCCCGACCCGGTCCGTTATGTCTTACAGATGCAACCTTGCCCCGGTACCGTGAAATTCGTGTCGACGGAATAGCGGGTGGCGGACTTTTTCTACATTGTAATTTCTGGGGTCGGACTCTGTAATGCGGTGCAATGAATGCGTGCTGTCTCACTAGTTTGATGAGATGAGGTACCCGGTGCATAAAGGCCAGTTCAGACGATACGGGGAGTGGGCCGCTGCCCTCGCCCCTATCAGACGTGACAATCTCGTGTCCGAGCACGAGCCGGACGGACTCACGGGTGGATAGCAATT